ACTAGAATAACCAACCTGGCCACAGCCTTTTACTCTACTGATACATATACCTAGGAGGGTCTTACTCTACTAGTATAACCACCCTGTACCAGTCTTTTACTCTACTGATAGTCACCTATAACTGTCTCCCTCTACTAGTATAACCACCTTGTCCCAGTCTTTTACTTGACTGATACAGTCACCTACAACTTTCTAACTCTACCAGTATAAGCACCCTGTAACAGTCTGTTAGTCTACTGATACAGTCACCTATAACTGTCTAACCCTACTAGTATAACCAACCTTGCCACAGTCTTTTACTCTACTGATAGTCACCTATAACTGTCTCCCTCTACTAGTATAACCACCTTGTCCCAGTCTTTTACTTGACTGATACAGTCACCTATAACTGTCTCCCTCTACTAGTATAACCACCTTGTCCCAGTCTTTTACTTGACTGATACAGTCACCTACAACTTTCTAACTCTACCAGTATAACCACCCTGTAAACGTCCTTTACTCGACTGATACAGTCACCAATAACTGTCTAACTCTACTAGTATAACCACCCTGAACAAGTCTTTTACTCTACTGATAGTCACCTATAACTGTCTCCCTCTACTAGTATAACCACCCTCTAACAGTCTTTTACTCTACTGATAGTCACCTATAACTGTCTCCCTCTACTAGTATAACCACCTTGTCCCAGTCTTTTACTTGACTGATACAGTCACCTACAACTGTCTAACTCTACCAGTATAATCACCCTGTAACAGTCTGTTAGTCTACTGATACAGTCACCTATAACTGTCTTACTCTACCAGTATAACCACCCTGTAAAAGTCTTTTACTCACCACCCTGTAACAGTCTTCTAATCTACTGATACAGTCACCTATAACTGTCTCCCTCTACTAGTATAACCACCCTGTGCCAGTCTTTTACTCTACTGATAGTCACCTATAACTGTCTCCCTCTACTAGTATAACCACCCTGTAAAAGTCTTTTACTCACCACCCTGTAACAGTCTTCTAATCTACTGATACAGTCACCTATAACGGTCTCACTCTACTAGTATAACCACCCTGTACCAGTCTGTTACTCTACTGATACAGACATTTATAACTGTCTAACTCTACTAGTATAACCATCTTGTCACAGTCTTTTACTCGACTGATACATATACCTATAACTGTCTTACTCTACCAGTATAACCACCCTGTAAAAGTCTTTTACTCACCACCCTGTAACAGTCTTCTAATCTACTGATACAGTCACCTATAACTGTCTAACCCTACTAGTATAACCAACCTTGTCACAGCCTTTTACTCTACTGATACATATACCTAGGAGGGTCTTACTCTACTAGTATAACCACCCTGTCACAGTCTGCTACTCTACTGATACAGACATTTATAACTGTCTAACTCTACTAGTATAGTATCAGTAGAGTAAAAGACTTGTTCAGGGTGGTTATACTAGTAGAGTGAGACAGTTCTAGGTGACTGTATCAGTAGATTAGAAGACTGTTACAGGGTGGTTATGCTAGTATAGTTAGACAGTTATATGTGTCTGTATCAGTAGATTAAAAGACTGTGACAGGGTTGGTTATTCTAGTAGGGTTAGACAGTTATAGGTGACTGTATCAGTAGACTAACAGACTGTTACAGGGTGGTTATATTAATAGAGTTAGACAGTTATAGGTGTCTGAATCAGTAGAGTAAAAGACTGTTACAGGGTGGTTATAGTAATAGAGTTAGACAGTTATAGGTGACTGTATCAGTCGAGTAAAAGACGTTTACAGGGTGGTTATACTAGTAGAGTAAGACAGTTATAGGTGACTGTATCAGTAGAGTAAAAGACTGTGACAGGGCGGTTATACTAGTAGAGTTAGACAGTTATAGGTGACTGTATCAGTAGAGTAGAAGACTGTTACAGGGGGGTTTTACTAGGAGAGTAAGACAGTTATAGGTGACTGTATCAGTAGAGTAGAAGACTGTTACAGGGGGGTTTTACTAGGAGAGTAAGACAGTTATAGGTGACTGTATCAGTAGAGTAGAAGACTGTTACAGGGTGGTTTTACTAGTAGAGTAAGACAGTTATAGGTGTCTGTATCAGTAGAGTAAAAGACTGTAACAGGGTGGTTATACTAGTAGAGTTAGACAGTTATAGGTGACTGTATCAGTTGAGTAAAAGACTGTTACAAGGTGGTCATACTAGTAGAGTTAGACAGTTATAGGTGTCTGTATCAGTAGAGTAGCAGACTGTTACAGGGTGGTTATACTAGTAGAGTTAGACAGTTATAGGTGTCGGTATCAGTAGAGTAGAAGACTGTGACAGGGTGGTTATACTAGTAGATTAAGACAGTTATAGGTGACTGTATCAGTAGAGTAAAAGACTGTTACAGGGTGGTTATACTAGTAGAGTTAGACAGTTATAGGTGTCTGTATCAGTCAAGTAAAAGACTGTTACATGTTGGTTATACTAGTAGAGTAAGACAGTTATAGGTGTCTGTATCAGTAGAGTAGCAGACTGTTACAGGGTGGTTATACTAGTAGAGTTAGACAGTTATAGATGTCTGTATCAGTAGAGTAAAAGACTGTGACAGGGTGGTTATACTAGTAGAGTGAGACAGTTATAGGTGACTATCAGTAGAATACACGTACCACAATAGTCTATTCAGCGGTTGTTTCTATAGAGTAAGTAAGATATTGCTGGATGCATCATGGACAATTTGGTAATGGACTCACTACTACAATGTACCACATTGTGTTTACATGGACTTTAGAACGGTAGGTTTAACGTTGACAACTAAACTTTCTGCGTTGTTATTGACAGTTTGATTTCATGCTCAAAGTATACAGGATATTTGTGTCCTGCCAATAAATAAACTGTTTAATCAGAGTTCTATGCCAGAAAGACTTCAAGATATGCTGGATATTTCACCGTCGACGTCAAGATGTCATTGGCAACCAGAAGATGTCCTTGTCGGGGATGAGTATTGATATTTACACTGTGTTTTAGACTGATACTGATTTACATGATCTTCATGAGTTCTAAAATGTCACAATGGAAATCACAATGAGAGTCTAACTTGCCTTTCCTTTTGTTTTGATGTTTCCTTAGTTCCTGTTGTTGACCTTTCATAAAGGTTTTGCGTTCACATTTTGTTTTGGTGAGTAGTCTCTGTAGTACATGGACAAGATCTAACAAGAAGTAATATCTGCCGAACGTTCAGTCGGATAAGCGACACCTGACGTCTTTAGGATGTGAAAAATGATTGCTGCGGGTACAACCTCTGACACCAGTGACTACTCATGTTTATCAAGGTTTCATCTCACACTGATACGTTTTGTTTAAATACAGTATTGTGCACCTTACAATGTCCTTCTTTCAATTTTAAGAGTCATATAGAATAAAAGTGCTAGCTATAATGCCGTGACATTGGTATATGAGAGTTTGCATCTTTTTTTGTGATGCTCTCAATGAAAACCTCTCTAAGAGCCACATATAACAAATGTGCTTGCGATCCTGCAATGACAATGTTAGCCGAGGTTTTGCCTCTTGTATCGTTGTCTGTGGGGCTCTCAAAAAGTTTTTCTTTTCTTTTCCAGCGAAGACAACCGTTCTTTTAACCCTTTCAGTAGCACACCAGTGCATTATGTTGGCCTAGAGGTGGACATACCACTAATGTCAACGTGCCCTCTGGTCACACGTTTGATGGGAAATGGTGATTCAATGGGACAATCGGCACGTCAACATGAGCTGGACTTCCTAGTGCGATGTGACAGCTTGATGATTCAGACATGTGTACAGCAAATGGCAAGCTACCAGATGCTTAACGCTGGGAACAATTTTGTCTCTTTTTATTCTTCACCAAACTGTAGCTTAGTTACAATAGTATTCCTTACGAATAAATAACGTCCTTGTATGTTTTGACACACCCGGTACATATGTACAATTTACAAATAATAGTTTGAGTTGTGTAGATGTACTGAAATGCCATTAATGGAATGTTCCCTAATGTTTAACATACTTGATTTACCAGCTCATATAGTTGTTTTTGTGTCTTTATAACGGAGACACCACCTTTGGTCACCGGTGATACTGACGGTTGAGCGAAAATCTCACGTTTAACCGTCAACATCTGATATAGACGCTAACTACACAGCATCTACACAGCATTGCTACAGAAAACCAGCTGTTATGTATTAAGCATGTCCCCCATTTAACTTACATTTATATCAGTGTTACAATACAAACGTTGCTACATATTGCTATGAATGATTTGCTGGATGCTGTTTTGGTTCAGACTTATTTGTACCTCATATAGCTAAAACGTAGTGATTAAGGTTCTCATGGTATCTTTAAAAATGCTGAAGCGTATCAAGCTCTTAAATGCTACCAACGGCAACATAAGTGATTTCTGTATGTTTGAAAATAATATCTTCACTTTCACACGCTTGTAATATTGTGTCACATTAACAGATTTATGTAGCGGACCTGGACTGGGTAGCTCATTTGGTAAAGCGTCCATCTAGAGTTCTGAGGGTCCCGTGTTCAAATCCCGATCTGGTCGTTATGTTTGTCTTTCTCCTGTCACATTTATCCAAGTATTCGGTATGCAGTAGGGCAGAAGAAAAGGCTTGACATATGTAAACTATCTATACATCTGTTTGCTGTCATAGAGTAGAGATGGCAAGATAAACGTAGGGCACTTACTCGAGAGGGTGTCTAGTTTCATAGACAACTGATCTACCGTCCCCAACATAGTACAAAACCTGTCAAAGAAAGGGGTATAACGTCCTTACCGGCAGTACGAAATTGACTAGGTAAATAGTCGCACTGTTTGTCAGACCACTAATTATGTACGTATGGAAGTACGTGTTAGTCCATACAACACGGTAACACTCTACACACCTTAGGTGGCCGACTGTGTACCCTGAGGTGCGGCTTAAACATCTGCTGCGCTAACTGCATAATATTTTCTTAATATTTTAACGTGCATAATTATTTCTCTTACCTTGAATTTCAGATGACTTTAAATGATGTATATCCAAGAGATTTTGACACAATTTCCAGAAGTAAATCCCAACTTGTGTTACCTTTACATGCGAGGGCAGGTGTGCGAATATGATTGACTGGTATCGCAAGTTTACCTGTCTGGTCAGTAAGCTAAATATTCCAATAGTTAAGGCTACTACTGTACTGAGAGCCAGCACACACCCATCCCTGTACACACTTACGGCAACTATACCTGTCCACGGTGTGATGTCAGCCGAGACGACCAGCCATGGATGACGTTCAACTCTCACCGCGCATGACTGATGATGGCCCAAGGAAAAGGACGGCTCTAGGGAACGTCTCGGCAACGCTTAGTTTACAACATAAATAGAGCAATTCATATTGTTCATTAAGAAACGACAATTATTATTTGTTGTACTTAATCATAATAGAAATCAGTGTATCGGTATGCGAAGTGTGGTTTTATTGTAGTTAACACACATATGAAATCAAGGGATTATAATTTCTCATTCGTCGTAAAACTTACCATACTTTTCCATTTCTCATCGACGTTTTATCAGTGTATCTCAGTACACAAAATCTCATTATTCACGCCTATTTAAATCTTATGTTTGGAAATTTAAAAGTATGTTTATAAATCCTAGATAAAATATTTCCTTATTAGCCACGGATGTTTAAACTTAAAGGTCGTGAATATAAAAAACTCGCTTCTATTAGATAAACTATTAAAATCCAATCCGATATTTTGATGAATCGGAAGTTTTACTGTCAATCGTTGGAACATTGAGTGAACTATCACAGGAACTACTCGTGAACATGTTAACTCACAACATTGTTGAAGGTTTGCACAAGAGAAACAGGAAGCTACGCACACATTTACGGGCACATCTGTATAACATATCCGACACATAAGTAAACTACAGGTGATTTAGAAAATTTTGATAACAAATTGTAACATGACTACTCGCTACATAAATCTGTCACTGAATAGAAACGGCGGGTGTTTGTGTGTGTTGGTTGTGTGAGTCAGGGGTGTGGTCGGGTGGATGAGGCGGGGCTGGGTGGAAGTTATTATCTGTTTTGAGTTTATTCCATTTCTCTAGGCGTCCATTGTTTGATATTCAGACAAGTCAATGACAATATTTCCGGCCGTCATGTTCAGAAGATGATCAGTGTACTCAATCATGACAACAGTGGAAGTGGCTTTATAGGACATTATATCTCTTGTTAATCATGTGAACATACCATTTGAAACATTACTCGATTTAAACAGTCAATTACTAGTATATAATCATTGTTTACAACTGTTTTCATGTTCAAATAAACGTTTTGCAAGTCACATAATACATTAGATAGCAGCGACTGTTAGAAATACGAATTTCATTTTTTTCCTGTTAAGCATACATTACTCTGTCTTTGATAGGAATAGTTCCGTCAGAAATATAAATATCAGCAAATTGAAATGGAGAACTTTGTAAACCTTACATAGCATTGTATTTCATAGTGAAACCTAGCGGAGAGTATAATACATCAACGGTAGGTAATCCGGGCAAATTCAATGAAATTTGGGATGGCAAAAATAATTAATAACTTCCGACGGTGACAATGTGATCGTTTGTTCTTTGTTAGTTGGCACTTGACTAGAGCTCATGTTTGGTAATCAATTCTGTAATGAATAGCTGCAAAGTATGGTGGCTGACTGTTTTGCAAAGAAACATGATGGATAGAGTTATCCAACGAAGAACTGGGCCCTAAAAGACCCACAACATGTGAACGTAATATGCTCTTATTCAGATTCCATTGATGTCTTGCCTCAACGACAAACTGTCATAATTTACAACAGTATGTGTGCCTCACAAAGTGGCGGCACTTACAGCTGACGTCACGACAGGAGCTAACGGTTTGTTCACGCAAATCGGAAGTCATACATTGAGGTGTTATTCCCCTTGCTGGACTGACCGATGTCATCATAAACACTTTTGTTGGGTTATGTAACAATTTCTTGTTGAATCAGTCGAAGGTGACGATGCCGGTTCAACTGTTTAAGACCCTGGCGGGAGCCTTTACTATGCTGGTCAGTCTGTCATCCCATATAAAACTAATCAGCGGGGAACATTATTCGTGCGAAACATTGGCCATATTGAACAAACATTTGTTTTTTTGAAACTTTGATTTATATATTTATACATTACTGAGAATTTGCATAACAATTTAATTCACATTTTTTCATTAGTTGTAGCTTGTTATATGATTTATATAAAAGCGTCCGAAATTGTCGCTTTCGTTTCAAAAATTGTAAGTGTTTTATGTTCAAATCTATGCGGTCCGAATGTCCTCTGATTAATTTCTCGGCAGTAGCGTCCTTTAGGATTAAAAAGATGGTAACACTGGCTTTGGTCGAGAGGTTTGACTTGATATTTTAAAATCATCATTCAGACGGTTTTGTATACGTCTCCATGTGCCATGTCGTATTTATGATTTTTTGGCCTACACACAGGTGTCGGCCTGAATTTCTGTTAAATTCAATTCATTGTTACGTTTTGTTTAAATGCATATCAGTTAACCGGAACATGGAACATAGCATGTCATGCACAGTACAGAAAGAAATGGAGATTCTGCATTTTACATTTAACAGTCAAAGCTTTCTGTATTTTTATGCCACACCCTCAAGGTAGGGAATGATTCTATTACTCTTACACCCCATTTCACGTGACGTGACGTCACAATGGCTCAACAATGACGTGACGTCACGAATTTGGAACTCTCCAATGCCGCAATGCGGAAAAGGCGACGTGATGAAATCATAACCTTTTACTTTATATTTACCGTACACGTTGGAAAGATGCGATTAATATTTCTGCCCATACATTGTTTGCAAATATAGGATATGCTTAATCTGGCTGTCTGATTCGTTTTCGTCTAAAAAGCTCAGGGGAAATTTGATATTTTTTTTAAATGGTGACCAGTCCACACGCATTTTCATGGTTTCTGGGCTTATTCTGGTTGTTGGAATGAGAGAAAATACTCTTTCTTGCCCAATGGTGTAGGATAGGGACATTCCACCATCGGGATTTTCAAATTTGGCAAAAACCTAGGCAAAGCCTCGGGTTAAAAGAAACGGATGGAATTTCCCTATCCTTCACCCCTGGGCATGAAAGAGTCTTATAATATACAGATGCGATCTGATTAAGAAATGGAGCAACACTGAGTTAACGTTACCAATGTGACCATCATGGAAAAGTTGTATAAGGCATTTGCTAAGAAAATGGTCCATATACATGAAATATCATGATGTATTAAGAGTTAAACATCACAAACTTTAATGATCAAACTAAAGGCCCGTGTTCATGAAACTGTTATCACGCTCAAGCATGGATTCTGTGTTTAAGTCATCTGTCTTTTAGCTCACATATATTCCATGAAATTGCCAAAACTTTAATCTAGACATTGAAAACGGTTTTCTGCTATGAGTATCTCCAAAATTCTTTTAAACGATTGACTAAATGTAAATTTTATTTCTTTATCTCCGAAACTAGAATCTGGGCCCATAATCTCACTTTGAGCATGAAAACAACTGTAAAAATCGGACCAAGAGCCTACACACTGCAAACCAGTTCTACACTTTATCAATGGTACTATCCAGGAATAATAAATGCACGCCATCAAAACATGAGATGAATACTGTGACAAAGGAAGCCAGACAAAAACTTATTTTCATTACTTCGTGTTTTTTTATATAACTCCAAATAAAAAATTGAAAAAAGTAGAATTATAATTAAATCTTACGTTTATTTCATTCACCTCACTCATATTTTAACAATTCTTGTTCTTCCTTCGAGAACGTCATTTTGTGTATCTGCGTTGCCCCCTTTTGTTCGAGTTTTGTATCGTCATTCTCCTCTTTAAGAAGTCTGATAGTTGTTCTTCTTGCGAAAAAGTCATTTTGAATATCTGTGTTGCCTCCCCTAGTGTGTGTTGTGTAACACCATTCTCCTTTGCGAGATAACCAATGCTTGTTGTTCTTGTGGGAACGTCATTTTGTGTATCTGAGTTGCCTCCCTTTGTTCGTATTTTGTAACGTCATTTTGTTTATCTGAGTTGCCTCCCTTTGTTCGTGTTTTGTAACGTCATTTTCCTCTCTCAGATTATCGATCCTTGTTACTAGTATTCTTGCGAAACGTTATTTGAAATATCTGTGTTGTCTCCCCTTGCTCATGTTTTGTAACATCATTTTTTGTTTGTTTTGAGAATGATATTTTGTGTATCTAAGTTGCCTCCCATTGTTTGTGTTTTGTTATGCCACTCTCCTCTATCGGATTTCTGATCCTTGTTCTTTTTGAGAGAACGTCTTTTTTGTCTATCGCATTGTTCCTTTTAGTTTGTGTATTTTAACGTCATTTTCGTCAAATTGAACTTCCCCATCTAGGTCGAGTATCCTTAAAGTTACCTCCTTGTTCCTGTAACTTTAACGTCCTGTTAATGTTTGCCTATTATGTGCTCTGTATGACTTTTACTGATTACGGAAATGCTTCTGTTCCGGAGGAATAAGAGCTATACATATACAAGTGTAGTTTTACTTCAGAGTTGAAACAGGCAGCATACATCAGTCTATCTTAGTTAACTCTGATATTGCTTTGTCTTTAAAAACATAACGTTATGCCATCGACATGGAAATTAAATAGGTGAGTATGTCATGATGTATTGCGAGCTATATGAACAACATGGTTTGCTCAGAGAAAGCGTATGATTAGGAGAGCATGCGCAAAACTTATGGTATTGTGCTTTAATATACCACTTAGCACGATTGACAACACACAATAGTCTATATGAGGACTTCTGGTGAAGCCCAAATCTTTGTTAGTCGGTTATATTCCTGTTTGAATATACGCCAGTGCCTTATTCATCATATTTGTTGTTCAGGTGTATATTCTTGTTATACAATGTATGTAGATCATTTATAGTAGAACTGGACTGTGTCGATCGTCAAGAAGAGCGCCCGCCTAGAGTTTTGAGGGTAGCGGGTTCGAATCCCGATCTAGTCATGCATTTCTCTTTCTCCTATTACACATATACGTAACAAGCATGTTGTTTCCACTAAAAAAAAACCTCATGTTTCGTGTTCAAGATATATACAAAACTGCTAAACAATTGAAGTGTCATTAGGGAATTATTTAAAACAGTTATACAGAGAAATTTATAAAATCGAGAACAATTGAAACATTAAGAAAGAGAATTCTAAACAAGT